TTCCCTTCTGAGTGACATTTGCTTATATATTATAAAGCTAATTTTATTTCCCTTTTTTTTTTTTCAGAGATGTTTTTGCTATAGAGTGTGTGCACTCACTGGAGACACAGAAAGAGACAGAGACAGATATCAAGAAATCACCCCCAGGGGGATGACCATGCATGCCACAATCCCTTCTCCTCCATTCTCCTCTGGGATTTTGGGCACGCACGCAAACATACCTGGTGTGAGGTTTAAACTACCAGGTCTGGGACTCAAACTGTGGGCAACTATGTGGGAGTCTAGTGACGTAACCATTATGCCATCTGCTGGTCCCACTATATCCCATTTTGAAAACAAAATCGAATTTTATTTTCTTGATAGATTTTTCTTTGATATACAGCATTTACTACTACATAAAGGCAGTTATGTCCATGTTTATGTTCACTTTCATTGGGCGTGCTATGTTCAGAGTAAGGCTTAAAGAATTTGCCTCATAAAAGCTTTCTCAGAAAGCTCCTAACCTATGCATGCACAATCTTGTTCATGTTCCTCCTTGCTCTCTCTCATGTACTCAGTGGAGAGACCAGCAGGCTTATGTGAAAACAGCAGCAGAAAAATGGGCAGGTTTTGTAAACTCTGATTTGTAGGGGTGTTCAAGTATCTACAGGAAGTCTGAAGGACCTAAAACACTCTGGCCATGTAAACTCACAAATCCAACCAGACAAAACTTCCACAAATAAAACCCTTTCTGTCTCTCTCTAGCAAGCACATATTCCCTATAGTACAAAAAACAAAACAAAACAAAACAAAACCCACCACCAACAACAAAGAACAGAATAATCCATCTGTTGCTTGGGTTATGAAACTTTGCTCCATTTTCCTGTGATTTACTCATCCTCAGCCTGTGAGAGGCATAGAACCATAGTCACCTCTTTTAACATATTTGAATCATAACGTTTTATAAGGGAAAAGTGTTACTATTACCATATTGTTTTTTCTAAATTTAGAAGGCTATCCTTTGGAGGCAGATTAAATCTTTGAAATAGAAGAAGGTACCAAAATGAAGCCAAGTGCCAGGAGTGGCTGAAGTAGGTGAATGGTGAGGTCAGAACGAGGCTGCATGGGAGGAAAAGTTGAGGCAGTTGAGAAGAGAGTTTAATGATCACAGAGTGGCGATTTATGCTTCCTATCCAGTGTTTAGGATTACTTTATACAAGGGGACTTCAAAAACATTGTGAAAAAGTGGAATTAAGGCACCCACTGATGGTGTAATCATTGTATCACTCGATAACTACATAGTTGACCGTGGTTTGAGTTCCAGACCTGGCAGCTCAAAACACACTGGGCGTGTGTGCGTGCGTGCCCAAGATCCCAAGAGGAGAACGGAGGAGAAGGGATTGCAGTGTGGCCATCCCCCTGGGGGGTGATTTCTCGCTTTCTGTCTCTTTCTCTCTAGTGAGCGCACATGCCCTATAGCAAAATTCTCTCTGAAAAAAATAAAAGAAAAAGTGGAATGAAATAAAGTACAAGTTTATTGTTGGTGCAAAAAAAGTTGAAGTTCATGCATAGTTTTTTGGTAATATGTACTTTTCATGAACTTTTGAAGACCTCGCATGTATCTTAATTTTTATTTCTCTACCAATAATTTTCTTGATTCTGCAATACAGGTTTTTACACATTCCCTACTAGGATCAGTACTTGTTTTAGAATTTTGCTTGTAAAAGTCATAAGTCTGTATCTATTTTTGACTTAGTGCCAAGCAGTATGTCTGTAAGAATGTATAGGGTTGTTGGAAAAATCGTGATGTATGTTTCTATGCAACAATGTGTTGTGACTTTTTCAATAACCCAATATTGTATTTAAAGGTGATTCCAAATGGATCTTAAGTTAACTAACTATACTTTCTTTTTTTGAGAGGTTGTTTTTTTTTTTTTGTTTTTTGTTTTTTTTTTTTTTTCTTTAGGGAATGTGCGCTTGTCAGAAAGACAGAGTTGTCAGACAGACAGAGAGACAGAAAGCGAGAAATCGTCCCCCGGGGGGATGGTCACGCCGCAATCCCTTCTCCTCCATTCTTCTCTCGGGATCTTGGGCACGCATGCACATGCGCCTGGTGTGAGTTTTAAGCCACCCGGTCTGGGATGCGAACCGCTGTCAACTACATGGGAGTCCAGCGACATAGCCATTACGCTAACTGCTGGTCCCAACTAACTATACTTTCAGAAACATATACTTCTAGGAGTTGTACTGAGTTTGCCAAATTTAAATGTAAAACATAAGATTGAAGTAGGGGACACTTGGGTCTCAGGGAGCGATGAGGATGAGTTCCTGGGTACATTGTGGGACTCCCTTTATTGCACACTAAATGCACCCTCCGTGTTGACCCAAATGCTTGCACTATTAGGTTTGTACTTTTGGTGTGAAGTTGAATATGTGTTCTCATGTAGCCCACATGTGGCCAGTATGATCAATTATGTTTCCCTTTCTTAAAAAAGGGGTTGGCAGATGGCATGGTTGTTAAGGCGCTGGACTCCCACATAGCAGACTGCAGTTCAAGTCCTGAACCTAGTGGCTTGCTTTCTCACTTTCCCTCTCTTTCTCTCTTTGTCTCTCTCTGGTCAAATTAAAAAATAATAATAATCAAATTAAATAAATAATGCTTAAAAAGAGAGAAGAAGATCACAGGGTGCATGCGCTCACTGGAGAGGAAAGGGACCGATACAGAGAGGGAAAGTAAGAAATCACCACCTGGTGAGACAGCCACTCTGCAATCCCTCCTCCTCTGGGGTTTTGGGCACGCACACCCATGTGCCCAGAGTGATTTTTCTTTTTCTTTTTTAAAGAGTTAGTTATTTAATTTTATTTATTATTATTACTTTTTAATTTGGCCAGAGAGAGAGAGAAAGGGAAAGTGATAAAGCAAGCTGCCAGGTCTGGGACTTGAATCGCAGTGGGCCAGGAGGTAGTCCTTGAACCACACCTGTTGGCTCCAGAGATTTACCTTTTTAAGTTTCAGTATTATATTTTTCTGTTCTAAAATTTTCATTTCATTCTTCTTAATACTATATATTTTTTTCTATTTCTTTGCTGAGATGATCTGTCTTTCCATTCATTGGAAGACTTCATATTTTTTGGTTATGTAGCTGCTTTAATATCTATGATAATTCTTATATATGTGTGATCTCAGGGTTTGACTATTTGAAAAAATAGTCAAAAGAGATTTGAGATTTTCCTGGTTCTCTATATGCCAAGTTATTTTATATTTTACCTTTTGAATACATTAGGAGATTCTGGGTCCTGTTTAAATCATAAAGAAAACTTTTTTTTTTTTTTTAAGGTTTGCTATAGGGTGTGTGTGTTTGCTGGAGAGAAAGAGAGAGAGGAAAGTGAGAAATCACCCCACACACACAGGGTGTATGGCCACACCAAAATCCCTCCTCCTCTACTCTCCTCCTGGGATTTTAGGTATGCATGCACATGCGCCTGGTGTGATTTTCAAGTGGCCAGGTCTGGGACTTGAATCATGGTTGGCTGTGTGGGAGTCCAGTACCTTGACCATCATGCCACCTGGGGTACCTTTTAGTTTTGCTTTAACAGGCAACTGACATGGTTAAGCTCAGGTTTTAAATTCTTACCTGCCTTCTGTGGGCTGTAATCCAATTAGTTCCTTTTCAAAGCCTTGGCACTGATATTTGGATTTGTCCCGTATTAGTGTCAGCCAGTGGCCAGTAGGGTACCTGGGCAGTGGCCTGGCTTGTCATTCAGTTCTCAGAGCCTTTGGTGTATTGCTTAGGGTCAGTCCAGGCTCCTGTGGCTTAGGTAAGCCCGGGAGTTGTGCAGTTTACTCCCCGCTGTCCACGAATTCCTAGACCCTTCTGGTTCCTTAGAGCTCACTTTTTTTTTTTTTTTTTTTTTTTAGGGGTTTTTTTTTACAGGGGGGGGTGTCTAGGTTTTTGCTATAGGGCGCGTGCGCTTGCCAGACAGACAGAGAGACAGAAAGCGAGAAATCACCCCCCGGGGGGATGACCACGCTGCAATCCCTTCTCCTCCATTCTCCTCTCGGGATTTTGGGCACACACACACACGCACCCAGCGTGTTTTAAGCTACTGGGTCCGGGACGCGAACTGCGGTCGACTACGTGGGAGTCCAGCGACATAGCCACTACGCTAACTGCTGGTTCCTAGAGCTTACATTAATAGCCTCTCAGAAAACCAGGACTGTAATTTGCATACTTTCTGTGATTGCATCTGCATCCAGGGCCAAGGGGCATGAGGACAGAGCAAGAAAAGTGGGCAATAGGGATTCGCTCCAGATGCTCCTCTGGTCAGAGAGAGGAATTCACATTTCTCAGAGTTTTAGGTACCTGCCCAACCTCCACCACTGTTGCTGCAGGATTCCTGGCATAGGAGAGAACAAAACAAAGGGAGAAAAGCGTATTTCCCTACTCTCCAACCTTCCAGTCCCCCTTTCTGTAGCTCGAACTAGAATACTCGGTCTTAAAATTCTTTCTTCTCACACCTAGCTCATGCCCACATTCAAGCTGCTTTGGGGTTCACGTCGGGCAATATCTGAGGAGGAGAAGTAGGGGACACTCACTACTACTGCGGTGGTGCTTCAAATTCTGGTCTCTTGCCCATTGTGCTCCCTAGCCTTTACTTCCAGAGTCTCAGAAGGCAGCTGCATGCGTTTCGTGTGGTTTGTAATTGCATCAGTGGGAAGACAGGGTGGAGTGTACACTCCGTCTTGCCCAGAACCAGAACCCCAACCAAATTTACAGTTTTTAACCTTCATTTTACAGCTCATGCTTATTTATTGTAGGAAATTTTGAAGATGCAAATAATTTTTAAAAAGGAAATAATCACAAGATAAAAGATTTAAAAACTTGTACACTGAGGGTATTGAACAAATTACTATCATTACTTTGGTTTTAAGAAAAGGAGGCGGAAAATCATAGCCCTAGGGAGAGGTGTGTACATGGTATAGTAGTGGGTAATTAAATAAGGGCTTTTATATTTCACAGGGGTTTATGCATGGATTGGAATCAACTTTGTTTTGGGGCGATTCGACCATGAGGATGGTGAGTACTATTGTCCTCTTATGACGGTTCTTTATCTGAGCACTGAAAGTTTGAGTCATAACCTACCGATAGCACGTAAGTATTAATTCTGCGTGTTTCTCCTTTTCCTTTTCGTCTTTTTTTTTTTTTTTTGAGAGGTTTTTACTATAGGGCACGTGTGCTCACCAGAAAGACAGAGATAGAGAGACAGAAAGCGAGAAATCACCCCCTGGGTGGATGGCACGCACATGTGCTCAGCATGAGTTTAAGTCACCGGGTCTGGGACTTGAACTGCAGTCCACTTCATAGGAGTCCTGTGACATAGCCATTATGCCACCTGCTGGTCTCCCTTTTCGTCTTTTTTTAAAAGTTTTTACCAGGGGGTGCTTGTATTTGCTGGAAAGAGACAGAGAGAGAGACAGAGGGAAAGTAAGAAATCACCCCCCCCCCAGAGGAAGGCTACTCCACAATCCCTTCTCTTCCATTCTCCTCTTGGGATTTTTGGGCAAACATGTGCACGCTCCTGGTGTGAGTTTTAAACCACCAAGTCTGGGACTTGAACTGTGATTGCCCAGTGGGAGACCAGCGCCTTAACCACCATGCCACCTACTGGCCCTCAGACTCTTCATTTAAGAAAAAAATAAGATCAAGACAAAACTGAGTCACTTGATAGAATGAGTCTGTCACATTCTGGATTCGTTCTGCTGCATCTTTGTTGGGTCTCTAACATACTTCTTTTCTCCTCATATGACCTTTATTTGTTTATTATTTATTTATTTTAAATAATATTTTCCATAGGGTACATGCACTCCCCAGTGAGGGAGTAAGAAGCACCCCTCTAAGGGCATGGCCACACTGCAGTCCCTTCTCCATTTCTCTCTTTCCAGGAGCTTGGGCACGTGCACACACACGCTTTGTGTGTCTCTCAAGCTGCCGAGTCCTGGACTCGAACTGCATAGTCAGTCCTGTGGGATCCAGCCTCCTTCACTGCCATGCCCTGCTGGCTCCATAGACGTCCTTTAAAATGGGTGTCAAATACGAAAGCTTTGTTAGACTCAGATCCAATTCCATCTGCAAGAACAAATCATCGATGATGCTGTGTTTGCTCCTGCATCGCATCAGGGTTTTGTAATGCGCTTGTCCCACTTTCAGTCGTGCCCAAACTGATCAGGTATCCAGGGCTCAAGTATGGTCAGCCCAATTTTCATCTGCTATGAAAATTCCTCATCCCCTCGTCACCTCATGGTTTTAGTACTCAATTACGATTATTGCTTAGATCTGTCTTTTCATGAAATTCTGTCAACACTTCTGCACCAACAGCTGGGATTTTTATGGAATGGACTTTTTTTCATTAACTCTTGGTTATCCTAAAATATAGTTCTTATGGGAAAGACAGAATAAATTGTTGACTCTTCTTTTGATCAACTTTTTGAATAATGAGTTGTTTTCCTAGCAACTTCCAAAGGTAAGCAGTGAGTCTTGTTGTTTTGACAATCATTATTAATTCGTAGATGTTAATGTGTTTGATTCATCAGAGACCATCACATCATCCTTTTTTTTTTTTTGATCTTTTTTTAGGGTTTTTATTGGGCTTGTGCACTCACTGGAGGGAGATAGAAAGTAAGAAATCTCCCCTTCATGGGTGTAAGATGGCCGCCCCACAGTCCCCTCTCCTCTATTATCCTCCTGCAATTTTGGGCACACACACATGCATCTGGCATGATTTTCAACCCTATAGGTCTGGGACTCGAACTACAGTTAGCCACACAGGAGTCCAGTGTCTTAACCACCATACCATCTGCTGGCCGCAGCATTGGCCATTTTTTAAAGGAGCCTTTGCATTTTTTTTAGTGGAAAATGGTATTTAGAGCCCGTTGGTCTAGATATCAGGGATGATCATTGCTTCTAAATTGTCGTAGCTTTTAAGGCCTTTCAGTGAATAGGAGTTAGGAATTATTTACTTATTTATTTTTAGAAATTTTTGCTATAGGGTTCCTGCGCTTGCCAGAGAGAGAGAGAGACAGAGAGAGATAGAAAGTAAGCAGTCACCTCCAGGGGGGATTGCCATACTGCAGTCCCTTCTCTTTCATTCTTCTCTCAGGATTTGGGGCACTCACACACATGTGCCTGGCATGAGTTTCAATCCGCTGGGATTCGGGACTCGAACCACGATCTACCATGTGGGAGTCCAGTGCCTTAACCACTATACCACCAGCTGGCCTCAGGAAATGAATTCTTTGGAAAAAAGAAGTCATGCATTCATAGTGATATTTCCAGCTCATATTTAAGATTATAAAGTTATTATTTAATTTCTTTGATTATATACCTGTATCTATTTTCTTATGCTGATCTTTGTTCTTAATGACATTAACATTTATTTGCTTTATTGCACAATATATGTTTAATAGTTTAAAAATACTACCGATAGGAGCCGGCAGGTAGCATGGTGGTCAGGGTGCTGGACTCCCACATGGACAACTATGGTTTGAGTCTCAGACCTGGTAGCTTGCTTCCTCACTTACCTGCTCTCTCTCTGGTCCAATTTAAATAAATAAATAAAGTTAAATGAAATAATTCTTAAAAAACAAAAACAAAGAAATCTACCAATACTATTAACAAGACCAGTGGAATTCAGCTTAAGATGCTTCTTTTGTCCTTCAGCTATACCCTGCTAGGGATATGTATTGTCAAAATACCACGTTTAAGTCATTGGAAGTAATTCTCTGTGTAATACATAGCTGACATGGATTAATTTATTTCAGTTGATTTCAATTTTTAAGGACTTGCTGCGTTTGGACTTAATTTTGATTTTTGATTATTAGCGGTCTTCTGTTTTCTTGTTTATTTCAGAACCAGAGGCTGAGGCATCACAGGAAATGGTGACAGGACGCAGGAGGACAGTAGGGATACTGGACATGGGGGGAGCCTCTCTCCAAATCGCTTATGAAGTTCCTACCTCAACCTCTGTCCTTCCTCCAAAACAGGTATTTCAGGTGTTTTGCCCTTCAGGGAAATTCAGTTTCTATCACCCTAAAAAGAAACCCTGTAATTCCTTGGCAGCTAATCCCCATTCCTCTGACTTCCTTGCCCTGACAACCACTGGCCTACTTTCTGTCTCCTAGGGATTTACCCATCCTGGGCATTTCATATAAATGGAATCATATCATATGTAGTTTTTGTGTCTGACTTCTTTCATTTAGTAAGATGTTTTCAAGGTTTATCTACGGTGTAGAATGTATTCATTTCTCCTTCTCCTTCTTTTTTTTTAAGAGAGATTTTTGCTATAGGGTGCATGCACTTGCCAGAGAGACAGAAAGCAAGAAATCACCTCCCAGGGCGGATGGTCATGCCACAGTCCCTACTCCTCCAGTCTCCTCTTGTGTTTTTGGGCATGCACACACACATACCCAATGTCAGTTTTATGCTGCTAAATCTGGGATTTGAACCACGATCAACTATGTGGGAGTCCAGCAATGTAACCATTATGACATCTGCAGGTCCCTTTTTTTTTTTTTAATGGTATTTGCTGAAGAGACAAAGAGAGGGAAAGAAAGAAATTACCCCACCCTCACCCCAAGGGATGTCATGCCACAATCTTTTCTGCTCCATTCTCCTCCTGGGATTTTGGGCATGCACGCACACACATGTACCTGGCATGATTTTCAAGCTGCCAGGTCTGGTACTCACCTGCGGTTAGCCATGTGGGAGTCCAGTACTTTAATCACCATGCCACCTCCTGGCCCTTCATTTCTCCTTTTATGACTGAGTAACATTCATTATTTGACCATGCCACCTTTTGTCTACTCATTTGTCAGGTGATAGACATTTGGGTTGTCTCCACTTCGTGGCTCTTTTTTTCTTTTTTTTTGAGAGAGGTTTTTGCTATAGGGCGCGTGCACTTGCCAGACAGACAGAGACAGATAGAGAGACAGAAAGCGAGAAATCACCCCCCAGGGAGGATGGCCACACTCCTTCGTTCTCCTCTCGGGATCTTGGGCACACACGCACACGCGCCCGGCGTGAGTTTGAAGCCACCGAGTCCAGGATGCGAACTGCGGTCGACTACGTGGGAGTCCAGCGACTGACTTACGCTAACTGCTGGTCCCCACTTCGTGGTTCTTGTGGGTAATACTGCAGTGAATGTTCTTGGACACTTGGTGCTGTAGACATTTACGTATTTGGATCTTGGATATGTACCTAGGAGTGGGATTATTGGGCATAATAGCTTTTTTTTTTTAAGTTAATTAATTTTTTAGAGAAATTTTGGCTATAGGGTGTGTGGTGTGTGCTTGCCAGGAAGACAGAGGCAGTGAGAGGGAATGTGAGAAATTGCCCCCCAGCGGGGCATTGACTATGTTGCAACCCTGTCTCCACTCTCCTCTTAGGATTTTGGGCATATATACACTCCCATTTCTTGGCATCTACCCAAAGGACAGAAGAATTTCTCATTGGAAAAGTGCTTGCACATCAATGTTTATTGCGGCACTTTTCACGATTGCCAAGACATGGAACCAACCCAAATGCCCTCATATGGCTGAATGGATTGAAAAACTGTGGCACGTATACTCTATGGAATACTATCCAGCCATTAAAAACAACAAAACCCTGGCTTTTGACAGAAAGTGGAAAAATATGGAAGATTTACTGCTGAGTGAAGCAAGCCAGGCTGTGAAGGAGAGACTCTGTATGTCCCCCTTAATATATACCGATTGTCCACACTCTATGGTGGAAACTTAAAGATTAGAGTATATAGAAGCATGGAAAATGATTACAGGTATTGTGGGGAGAGGGTAGAAGATGGGGGATAGTGAGAGGAAAGGTATCAAGGAGAAAAATCAAGAGACAAGACATTTAAGGGCCACAGAAATGGAGGATTGTCTGCTGCTGGTGTGTATGATATCTTCAGTTGGACTGGTGTGAAGTGTATTCATGTTGGGTAAATTCATTTTACAAACTGTAGTGATGTACAGTGATCAAATGTATAAAATAAATTTTAAGAAGACTGATATTTACTTTATAAGAGATCAAAAAAAATCAGCCCCAGCCTGGTAGCTCAGTGGGCAGCATACTGAACTGCAGTGCGGGAAGGCAGGTGGCTGACCAGTGGGCCTGGGACCTACCAGAGGTGCATGTGCGCCCAGGATCCTGACAAGCTGGGGAGCTAGGGAATGGGACGCTGGCACGATCAGACCTTTTTGACGGTACTTCTCTCTCTCACGTATGCACATCATGGTTAAAATAAGTAAACTTAGCGATATGCACCATCGAAACAGTAGACCCCATGTTTGCAGCAGTGCATATAAACAAAAATGACATCTTAAACATTAGATTGGCTGCCTATGTCAGGCAGTGGGCATGACGAGACAGGGGAGGAAGTAAAGGGAAGATGAGATGCCATGAGTCGAGGAGCACAATTAGTTTAACCTCTGCATCGAGGGCAAAAAAAGAGTACATCTCACTGGAGATAAAGTGAAGTTTTCCCAATCTCCAAACAAGCGAGACGAGGGCTTCCTGAGTAGTTCTAGGAGAGACCGTAGAATAGATACCATGATGATCTCCCACATTCCTTAGATTTGTTTTTACTGACGTTTTTCCTTTTCTAATTCTAGTAACAACAAATTTTCATTTTAAGATTTGGAAAAGCACAGAAATGCGTGTGCATGAAAATGACATAACCTGTGATAATTCTACATCCTTTATAACAACAGATAATGTTTTAATCTCCAATTCGGTTTCTAGTCTATAATTTGCACTTTTTGGTGCAGTCTTATTATTTTATATCTTTGTTTAAAATGATGCCATGAAGGGCCAGCAGGTGGTGGTGTGGTTAGGGCACTGGATTCCCATATGGTCAGCCGCACTTTGAGTCCTGGACCTGGCGGTTTGCTTTCTCACTTTCCTCTCTCTGGTGAGCACATGTGCCTTAAAACAAGTTAAAAAATAGTAATATTAATAAATAAAATTAAATAATTCTTTAAAAAATGATGTCACAA